ACATAATATTTTTGATTTTTTTTAAAAACAATTTTCGCTGAGGCTGGATTTTCGAACATTCCTGGAAAATATAAAAATGTCGTCTTCATTATCAAAAATCCTCGAAACAGGAATAAATGTTTTCAAAAGTAACTCTCATATCATGAAAAATACAAAATATTATGAAATATCAACTATTTACGAATGCGTCGAAAAATAATCGATGACTATTTGAATGGACACTACGTTCTTCGGTGTGAGTCGTTTTTAACAATTTTCTCCTTATAGACACAACAGATATAAGTAAGATTAGTAGCGATCTAAAGCGCTTTTTTTATTTTTCGCGAACACTCCCTTTAAGTAAAATTGCTGTGTTTCAATTTTTGCAATAACTTGAGTTTAATTGTCGCCTATTTAATCCACTGTTTTCTGGGTCTCACTGTACATCACTTCAAAATGTAAACCCCCAGAGAGTAAGGAATAGAAGTGAGATATAAGTGACACGACCCGTACTATCATATGATTATACTGTACATCAAACAAATATTTCTTATTCAAATGAAGTACCATCTGCAAAGCATGTATAATCATATGGTAGGGCGGGCCACGTCAGTTCTAACTCAATCTCCCTTTTATGCCTTACTCCCTGGATACCCCCTTTAGTTTCTAACTGTATTGTAAACAAGGTATATAGATATGTTAAGAGTACACAATAGGTTCAACTTCTAACTTCTAAGTTCATTCTTTTCAAAGAATTTGCAGAAAGTGCATCTTTTTCTTTTACACTCTATTTATATCTATTTTAATATTTCTCTAAAGTTTGACATAAAATGTTATTGGTAAACAAAGGAACTGTTTGGTTCTACTCTGGGAGGGACCGTATAATACTACAATTTCAAGGATTTTACTCCAAAATAAAGCAATTTTCAATCAAAATGCTGTCTTAGAAATTAAATTTTTAAAAGATTTTAAAAGAACTATTCTTGAGTTCTCTAGATGTCACAGTAAAGTATAAATAGTAAATAAGACTAAGAGTATTTTTAAAAAGTTTCTCAAACTGGAGATCTTCTTATCTGATCCTAGCTGTGGCAATATGAATTTTGTAGATTTTCTAAATAGAAAACTTACAAATCCATCCATTAATCAGTCTTTAAACTTTACACAGATCAGTCTTATCTAAACACAGATCTGTATTCAACCAAACACAAATCTGTAATCTGTATACAACTAAGCACAGATTTGTATTCAACTTTACACAGATCTGCATTCAACTAAACACAAATCTGTATTCAACTGAACATAGATCTGTAATCTGTATTCAACAAAACACAGATCTGTATTCAACTAAACACAGATCTGTATTCAACTAAACAAAAATCTGTATTCAACTAAACACAGATCTGTAATCTGTATTCAACAAAACACAGATCTGTAATCTGTATTCAACAAAACACAGATCTGTAGTCAACTAAACATAGAACTGTATTCAACTAAACACAGATCTGTATTCAACTAAACACAGATCTGTATTCAACTAAACATAGATCTGTATTTATCCAAACAGATCTGAATTCAACTAAACACAAATCTGTATTCATCTAAACACTGAATATAAAATTATTCTCCTTCTATCCCTGCGGGTCCGTGGTGTTCACGGAATAAACTCAATTTAAATGGAATTTTGTATTTGACAATAAATGGGAATTCTCAAAATTTATCGAGGTCGAAAGCTAACACAGTCAAGGTATAATACAGAAAGTGGGTTGTAATTCATGTGAGCGGGTTATTTAATCTTCATTTTTTCAGTTACCAGAAATGGAAAACCTTTTTTATTATGATAAAGAAAAATATTACGACATGTTGATAAGAAATTGTTACCATTCAAAAATGGTATGAAATAAAGGAAATATAAAGCATAAAAACTGACGTAAGTGAATCCTCAGAGTATAGGAAAAAAAATTCATTTACAAGTAAAAAATGGACAAATAAAATGATACTAATGAATCATAGAAAGCCAGAGTTCTCTTGGCGTTTCTTAACGGATAAATATCCCTATACGATATAGATGAGGAGACTTGTCATCTGTCCCACTGCTATCCTTGACTACAGTTTATGTACAAGTAAGCCTTTCTCCATTCTTACAATATCTTACCAATTATTTTTTCTTTATTAAAATTATATCCAATTTTACAAAGATTTTTAAATTTTAGAAAAAGCCAAATTATGAAATACGCTTTTTAAAACATTTTTTAAGAGAGTCATTGTGAATCAGGCATAACCTTATTCTAAATAAAATGTAACTTGAAATTACCTTTAAAGAAGTTGATTTCAGCGTAATTTCAGATAATTATACAAAGAACCAAATCTTTATATTGCATGATTTAAATATATTAATTTTCAAGATGGACCAAGAAACATGGGGAGCATATATACAGGGAAACGGAAAAATGGAGAAGGATAGGGGGAAATGTTGAAGGAAAGGGGAAAATGTAGAAGCAAAGGGGAAAATGTAGAAGGAAAGGGGAAAATGTAGAAGGAAAGAGGGAAAATGTAGAGGGAAACGGGAAAATGCAGAAGAAAAGGGGGAAAATGTTTAAGGTTAGGAGAAATAGTAGATTGAAGGAGAAAAATGGAGAAGGAAAGCTGAAAAATGTAAAAGAAAAAAATACAATTGAAGAAGAAAGAAATACAGCGGAGCCCAAAACTGTGGGGAAGTCTGTGGTTTTAGTTTTTACCCAGTCTGATTTGACACAGACAAATTTTCTAATCCGTTTCTCTTTGCAACCAAATGGTGTAGACTTTTGAATCCAACAGAATTCATAGTTTGAAATATCAAAGTGCGTTAAGGTGCAAAGTTAAAGTGATAATAAATTCAGAATTTGGGGCAACACAGTTCCTTTTCAAGAACACAGTTCCTTTGCAAGAACACAGTTCCTTTGCAAGAACACAGTTCCTTTGGGGCAAGAACAGTTCCTTTGCAAGACGAATGTCAAAGCAAAAACCAAACATAGATAAAAAAGTGCAAAAGAAAAATTAGGAAAAAATCACGAAATAATAAATCAACATTTAAAACAGAAATTAAGTTTATTTATCATTGTAAAACAAAACAAACTATCTGCTCAACATTTAATTTGCATTAACTTTGTTTTTTATTATATTTGAATTTATCAAAGTTTATGTAAATAAAAACAGATACTGTATTTCGAAGGAACCCAGTGTTTGTCACACACTAAAATATTCTAATCTCCATACCTTTGCAATCTGATGGTGTAAACCTTTTTGATCTAACAGAATTTATAGTTTGACATATCATAGGTCTACGACACCTGGTTGCAAAGGGGAATAATAGAGTATGCGAGAAAAAAAAACCATTTCCTTTGCTGTCTACATATAAAGCAGCCTTATCTTATGACTAACATCCTATCATGCTGAAAGCTCAAAATTAATAACAATAGTAAAACCAGGCTTTAGTGCCTAAGTACAACCAAATATTTAACTAGAAAATGGAACTATATAACTAGAGATATGTTCCAATATTTAACTAGAAAATGGAACTATAAACTAGATATATGTTCCAATATTTAACTAGAAAATGAAACTATATAACTAGAGATATGTTCCAATATTTAACTAGAAAATGGAACTATATTACTAGAGATATGTTCCAATATTTTACTAGAAAATGGAACTATATTACTAGATATATGTTCCAATATTTAACTAGAAAATGAAACCATATTACTAGAGATATGTTCCAATATTTAACTAGAAAATGGAACTATATATATTACTAGAGATATGTTCCGATATTCAACTAGAAAATGGAACTATATTACTAGATATATATTCCAATAT